TCAGAAATAAGCCACAAAGCACTGAAGCAGTCTACAATTAGTGGTTTCACATCAGTTGAATCCAAAATGCTGTGAAAACACAAACAAACCCCTGAAGGATAGTCATTAGCTTTCTGTCACATGTCAAATTTCACGTCTTAATCCTTCTATTCATTCTCCCTGTGTTTAAATGCCAGGAGGCGGAGGCTGTGTAAATGGGCCTGGTGTGGATGAAACACACACACACTCTCATTGCCAAGAGTGTCAAAATGTATCTGGTCTGGAGCTGGGGAGGAACAGGGGAGGAAAAGTTGAGGAAACAGTGAAAAGTGTGACTCTTGTCATCCTCCCGTCACATGAAGAGAGGAAGAAAAAGGTTTGTGTTTGTGTAAATATACTAACCAGTCACATCATTAAGTGCATCATTCAAATTGGATGATCAGAACTGAGTCACGTGTCTGTGACAATTTGTTAAAATGCTGTGAAAAACAGAGATCTTTTCGACATTTTAACGTCATGCAGTGTTTGCAGAGCTGTTGGCCCCACATCTGGAATGCAGTTCTTCTCTTCCACCATATTCAAGTAGTTAAATCTGACTGTGAAGGTTATTTAAGTACAGTGACTTTTTTTTTTTTTTTTTTGTGATACGATTTGAGCGTTGTGACATCATTCTTCTGGAAGTAGCCATCAGAGTTCATGTCCACTGTGGTCAAATGAATAAAAACATGACTTAATGTATTTATTTATGTATTTATTTATTTATTTATTTACCTAACATATTTGTTTCACCTAGCTATTTAAATGTTCTTTACAAATTGTAGCCTGTAGCCTAGTTTTTTTAAAGGGATACACATGAACAAAATGGTAATTTTCTAATAAACAAAACATGCTGCAATAGGCTTGACATCCATGTTTTGCTCTTTAGCTTTTTAAAAACCAGTAGCTGCAGATGTTAAATCTAATCCTGCACAAATAATAAATTCTGTTTGACTGCACTGCAATACACAGGTCTGGGGCTGTATTTAAAAAAAAGATGTCTATAATTAGGGCACGAGCCAGAGATTTGCATTAAAATCAGGAGTCCAGACCTAAATTATTCTTTACCAAAAAACCCACAACGTTTATATTTATTCACACACAAATATTGCAATGTTTGTTTGCTGATCATATTACATTTCGTTGTAATTACAATTGCATACATGAGCTGTATCAGTGTGTGTGTGTGTGTTTGCGTTAGTACACTGGAATGCTGGCTGGCCTGTAGGACTTGGCGAGCTCCTCAGCGGTCACATTAAATGAGAAGAGAAACCCCGCTCTGTTTCCTGCCTGTAATAAATGGATCCCCAGCAACCATTAAGGCATATTTTAACACCAAATAATTCCCCCTCACCACAGTCAAACAGACACACTTCACTCCCAGCCTTCCACCATCCATCCCTCTGTATTTCTCTGGCTCTCTCTTCATCTTTTAAAAAACAAAAGGCTCAAGACGCAAAATGTTGAAGTAGTTTTTACCTTGTAGGCGTTGGTGGGAAATCTAACTCTTAACAGTTTGAGTAGAAAAGCAACGGTTGCTTCAAACCTTTTCAACCTGTTATTAGAGAACGTGGTACGCAGATGTCAGTCCTCTCCCATTGGCCGATCAGCCATCCGTCTTTTTAATCCATTTATATCTACAACAGAATTCGTACTTCGTTGTTTGCCAGGCTTTTCAGCTTGAGTTTTCATATTGCACCTTGTGTTTTTTCAAAATAAAAGACTCAAACCGTAACATTCCCAGCTGATGTTACATTTTTTTATCCTGACGGTGTGACCCACATTAGAATGACATTAAACGCCAACTTATCTCGAGGAAAGAACATAAAAACACAACTGCCTTCGAACAATCTCCTGAAATACTTCAGAGATATAGAAAAATTACACAGAACATGAATGTTTTTTAAAAGTTGTTTCTCTCCACCTCCCTCAATCAAATCCACTCCACACGTAATGGACTCTTCAGTGGGTCAAACCTCACCCTTCTAAAAATGTCACAGGAGTGGGCACAGGACGTGGTCAGTGTTCCAGCTACCATGACGTCTTTGGTGTGGATAATTAGAAACTCTTATGTTGAAGGGACTGGACTTTGAGAAAGACTTATGGCAAAATAAAACACGCTTTAGAGGAACTAGTGAGTCAGGTTAAATAAGACAGCAAACAGCAACGTTTAAGACATTTGTTCTATTTAAAAAAAAATCTATCTTTTTAACTTTAACAATAACACAGTAAGAACATGTATAAAGAGTTTTGACCAAACAAATATTTGTAGAAACTGAATTACAATCCGTTATAAATTGAAGTCTTACAAGGACTTAACAAACAAACACAGCAGTGGACGCCATTGTTTCCAGTGGCGCTGTCCATGTCTGCCCTCCAGTGGACATGGGAACTTAATGCAGGACTACTCAATTCATAAAGCACCAAAAAAAAAAAAAAAAAATCTAAAGAGCTGCTTTGGAATAGCAAAACCAGAATCTGAAGTAATGTTAGGTGAATATCATTAAAAATTAAAAATGTATAGACATTTACATAAAAAGTAGATGGTAGGGTTTTACTTTAAGGACATTTTAGTCGGTAAATAAACAGTATAAAAATCTAGATGCTTTGAAATTCTTTATACAAATTGAGTCACATAGACAATATTTCTGTCTCAGGTTATAACAAACAAGTAGAAATAGTATTTCTATTTTTTATTCAAGGTCATTTAAAACATAAGTCTGATTAATGCGAAGTCACTAAAAGATTTACC